GAATAGGTTGACTCGATCGGTGAAGGACCACATTCTCACAGATTACCAGTGTCAATAGCAACTGAATGCTGCTGCGTTTCGTATGGTGAGTTTAAAGAACCTGAGACCGTTTTACTAGAAACGAGGCATTTCATCTCAATCCTCAGGGGTAACAACGCATCTGCATTTTGTTTCTTAATCGAGGATAAAAGTAGATGTCTATGGGCCACTGCATACACTTTCCACCATGTGGACTGTGTGCTCCTTTTGTCGCCCTTATTCTATAAAATAAAATACTACATCCACGATTCAACCATCCAATACTACATGATTCAAGTATATACACTACTGTACAAGGAGGCTACGTTACCACACTTAGTATCCACTGTCTTCATCAGCCTGTCGACAGTCCTCTACTATGCATAAGGCCCGCCACATTCTATATACGGTTCGGAATCCCGAATCGGAATTCCGAAACGGAATCTTGAAACGGTATGTGGCGGGCCTTAGGCCCGGGATTCCGAACGCAGCATGTCTATATAAAATCATTGATCCGTCACACACCTACGGTAGTTTTCCGTACGGAATTTCGCGGGCAAAACAGGAGTCCTTTTGTATGTGGCAGACCCGTTCGTTCCGTTTCGGGATTCCGTTTCGGAATTACGATTCGGGATTCCGACCGCAGCAAATCCATATATATAAAAACATTGATCCGTCACACACCTACGGTAGTTTTCCGTACGGAATTTCGCGGACAAAACGGGAGTCCGTTTGTATGTGGCAGACCCGTTCGTACCGTTTCGGGATTCCGTTTCGGAATTCCGATTCGGGATTCCGAACGCAGCAAGTCCATATAAAATCCTTGACCCGTCACACACCTACGGTAGTTTCCCGTACGGAATTCTGCGGGCAAAACGGGAGTCCGTTTGTGTGTGGCAGATCCGTTCGTTCCGTTTCGGGATTCCGTTTCGGAATTCCCATTCTGGATTCCGAACGCAGCAAGTCCATATAAAATCATTGACCCGTCACTAGTGATTGCAATCCGGATTCTTCGAAATTCGAAAATAACTGAAAAATCCGGATTTTCCATAGTTTTATAAATCCGGATTTTAAGATTCAAATCCGCTTTTTTCGGATTTTAGTGAAAATTGAGTTTAATGGATAATATTTTACATTTATCTACAAATTTTCATTCTATCTAATGAATAGGTAGGTGTTACCCTACTCTAATACGCTAATACGTTCAGTTTATGAATGTGTTTTGTTGTTTATTTTCATCATCATCACCACCATCATTACAGTCCTTCACAAGTCCACTGCTGAACATAGCCCTTCCTCAAGAAATGCCACAAAGCACGGTCTTGAGCCACCTGCATCCATCTATTTCCTGCGTGTCTTACCAGATCGTCACTCCATCAGTGGGGGGTCGCCCTACACTACGCCTACCGGTACGAAGCTGCCACTTGAGAACCATTTTTCCCCATCGATTGTCGGTTCTTCGGTCGGCCGGTCCATTGCCACTTCAACTTACTAATCCGATGGGCTATGTCGGTCACTCTGGTTTTACTGCGGATATCCTCATTTCGAAGTTTATCACGCAGAGAAACCCCGAGCATAGCCCTTTCCATAGCACCTTGTGTGTCCTTGTACGGCCAGCAGTGAAGGACCACGTTTCAGATCCATATGTAACCACTGGCAACACGCATTGGTTGTACAGTCTCGTTTTTAGGTTTTGAGGTATACCTGACTAAAAGATGTGTTGTAATTTCCCGAACGCTGCCTAGCCAAGTTGAATCCGTCGATTAACCTCTTGGTCAATGTTGGACTTACCTAGTCGGACTATTTGTCCCAGGTAAACTCACTCGTCAACAACTTTGAGCTTAGTGATCCCAACTACTACCAGCATAGGTGTGACATGGACATTAAACATGATCTTTGTTTTGTCCATGTTCATCTTAAGACCTATCCGTTGGGAGACACTATTGAGGTCAATGAGCATAGTGCTAAGGTCCTCCAGCGATTCTGCCATAAGGACTATATCGTCGGCAAATCGAAGGTGAGTGATGTACTCGCCATTGATGTTAATACCGTATCCTTTCCAGTCCAGTAGCTTGAAAACGTCTTCCAACGCAGCAGTGAAGAGTTTCGGGGATATAACGTCATCCTATCTTACACCTCTCTGCAGTTGCATAGGTTTCGAACTCTGGTTCTGTACTCGGATAGCCATCGTAGCCCTACTGTACAAACACTTCAGCACTTCGATATACCGACAGTCAACTTGGCACCGCTGAAGGGACTGTAGCACCGCCCAAATTTCGACGTAATCAAAGGCTTTCTCATAGTTCACATACGCCAGGCAAAGTGGCAGATTGTACTCTTCGGTCTTCTGTACAATCTGCCGTAGGATATGTATGTGGTCTATGGTACTGAAGCCTTTTCGGAAACCGGCTTGCTCGGGAGGCTGGAAGTCGTCGAGTCTGCGTGCGAGACGATTCGTAATGACTCTCGAAAACGGCACGTAGACGCGGCTCGGAAGGGAAATTGGCCTGTAGTTCTTCAAGAGAGCGTTGTCTCCTCTCTTGAAGAACAAGACCACCGTACTTCTGCTCCACACCTCCGTAGTGCCACCATGGAGGACGGAATTAAAGAGCTTCTGAAGGACTTAAGTACCAGTTTTCCATCCGCTTTCAGATGATCCGCTGTAATTCCAATCTCGCCTAGGACCTTTCTGTTTTTAAGGTGCTGGAGAGCCACTCTAATCTCGCTCAGACTGACGTCCAGGATATCATCGGATTAGTGTTGGATAAGACTTGCTATTGGATCGTTACTAACACTTGCTCAAGCTCACTCAAAATCTCAGATGTCCCGGAAACGATACTGCCACACTCAGTCTTCAGCCTTGACAGTTGGCTCTTTCTGACAGACAGACCTCTGGCAAAGACTTTGGAGCCCTTGTTCCGCTCGATCGCTTCTTCGCGTTGACTTCTTTAGACGAGTTCTCTCCAACTTAACGTTTAGGTTCAGTGTGCCTCTAACCATTCAGTGATCGTTGCCATTTTTTACTCTTGCAGTCACTGAGACATCACTGAACGGTTGTCGTCTAGTCGTCATAATGAAGTCAATCTCATTTTTTCTCGAACCGTCGGTGTTCGACAAGGTCCATTTTCTATGGGGCCGCTTCTGAAAGAAAAGAGTTCATCATAAAGAATCCCTCTTGCTCCATGAAGTCGGCCAGCTGCTGGCCCCTTGGGTTCCGTTGCCTAATCCCAAATTTCCCTACCTTCAGCGGACCGATTTTTCTTGTGCCTAGATTTGCGTTAAAGTCTCCCATTAACACCGAATAGTGAGTTTTGAAGGAATGCGTGGTTTTAGAAATATCCTAATGCATTACCTCTACCTCCTCATCGGGATGTGCCAACGTTGGTGCTTAAACCTGTATGACCTTCAGCGAATACCGTTTGACGATTCTGAGTACAAGGTACGCAACCCTCATCAACACACTCCCAATCTTTATAACGTTGTTAACGAGAGACTTGTGGACAATAAATCCAACACCTCCTTGGGACAGATGGTCTTCCTCCCGGTGATAGAACGAGTTGCCGGATTCGAGAATCACCGTGTCCTCCCTCTCTTCGGACCTCGGATAATCCTATAATATTCCAACACAACTTGTCTATCTCTTCTTCCAGCTCCAGGATCTTCTCGTCAGTCCTCAGAGTGCGTGCGTTTTAATTTGTCAGGTCGATTCGTTTTAGGTGGCAACTGAACCTCCACTGGAGATTGAGTTGCCACCTAAAACGACTCGACTCGACTGAAGCACCCCCTACCCTGCCGTTACCATGGTCTGGGGGCCGTCTATTTGCGTCGTTGCTCATGGGGGGTATATTGCCATAGTTGCCACGCTTGGCGAGCGGGTTGGTAACTGCAAGTTTTTCTTACTTTTATCAGGAAGATGCTGCTGCCCATCTTCTGCCTGCTTCTCTCTGTGGCCTTTTACGACACCCACGGGAAGATATGGGGTAGTGGATATTCTTAACCGCCACTACACGATTTTTTTTATTTTGGTTGATTTTATTCCGTCGTGTCAGAATAAATGCAGATTTTAAATGATTTATGCTGTTTTATCAAATCACCCCAAAACTTCGAAAAATCCGGATTATCCGGTTTTTAATCATAGGAAAATTCAAAAATTCGAATTTCAAATAATTCTCGATTTTGCAATTTCTACCCGTCACACACCTACAGTAGTTTTCCGTAAGGATTTTTGCGGGCAAAATGGGAGTCCGTTTGTGTGTGGTAGACCCGTTCGTTCCGTTTCGGGATTCCGAACGCAGCAAGTCCATATAAAATCAATGACTCGTCACACACCTACGGTATTATTCCGTTCGAAATTTTGCGGAGAAAACGCGATTCCGTATGCGTGTGGCCGACCCGTTCGTTCAGTTTCGGAATTCCGAAACGGAATCTCAAAACGGAATTCCGTATGTGTGGCTGGCCTTAGTCTTATCCAACAAGAATAGGTACAAAGCTGCAAATCCAACCCATTTGAAGTACTTAACCTTCTCTAAACAAATAAATATATCACATTTAGCCAGCCTCTCAATATACTAACGAAAATTAATTTAATTTTTAATTTTTTATAGAGATTAAACAATTGAATTAGGTATAGGGTAAGTCCGGGGGAGTTGGCCGTAAGGAAGAGATGGCCACTAAAAAAAAATCATAGTTACACTTACTAGATGGCACTACTTTCTCGTTAGTTCAATTTGTGCTGTGCGTGGGAACGACATTTCGCTCCATCTCCGGTGAAAAAATCGAAGAAGTAAGTAAAATGTACATACATTTATTTGTATATAGCCAAAGCGTCAAAGGGTTTACGTTATACAGTGTGGTGAAAAGACATCATAAAAAGTAAGTGTTTTTTTTTTTTAAGTTAAGTGCTCAGTTAATGACCCACACTTTAACATAACATCAAAATGGCGCGTGGGTTGTTTATATTTTTCTTCAAATAATGTGTGGCCATGGATATGGCTGAAGGTACATTTTTACCACCTGCCTGTATCATGAAAGGCAAAAACAAAAATGAGTTTGAGGATGGGATGTCACCGGGATCGAAACTTTTCATGTCCCCAAAATCAGCGTACATTACCTCAGATTTATTTATTGAATGGTTGAAAACACATTTTGTTCCGAGGAAACCAGCTGGAAGAGTACTTCTTTTACTAGATGGTCATTCAACTCACTGTAATTCTGTGGAAATGCTGGAATATGCAAAGGACAATGACATCACCTTACTTTCAATGCCAAGCCACACGTCTCACTACCTCCAACCACTAGATCGTACGGTGTTTAAATCACTGAAGACTCATTTTTACGAGCAGTGTCGACTTTGGCTAAAACAAAATCCTGGTCGTCGTATAACACGATTATCATTTGGAAGATTGCTTAATAAGGCGTGGGGAAAGGCAGCTTCTGCAGAGAATGCAATTGCGGGTTTTAAAGGTACAGGTCCCGACTACGCGTTTACCCAAGAATTGACAAAGTAAATGTCTAAATCTTAAAATGAGTGTACAGCCACTGTGATGGTCGAGGAGCAAGAAGAAAATACTAGTAACATAGCTTCTGCTAATCTGCAACCAGTTCCAAATACTTTCGAAGTGCGACAAGACATATCACCTGCAATCGCTGAGCCAAAAAGCTCTGTTGAGCGAATAGTTTTAAACGCAAGTCCTGAGATGATTACAAGAAGGCCTAAAAAATTATTTGCTACTGCTTCAGCAGCAGTAATTAAAAAAATGTCAGAACAATTCCCTCCAAGAAGCGATTTGCCAGATCTGACTCCAACACGTATTTTAAAGCAAATGTCGCCAGTTCCACAAAAAATTATTGAAGTACGCAAACGTGCTAAACAGGTAGGCATGCTTTTAACCTCAGAGAATCACATCAAAACAAGAAAATTTAAGGAAGCGCTTAAAAAAATAGGGAACAAGAAAAAGACGTTAAAAAGGAAAGAAAAATTGAGATAAAAGCAATAAAACGAGCACCAAGAAAGAGAAAATCATTAAGAATGTTATCTGAAAGTAGTGATGAGGATAAAGAACTAATATTATGTAATTCGTCTGATGAAGAAGATGGAAACAGAGAATTGGATAACTGTGTAGGTTGTGGAGAAAATTATTACGAAACGCAACTCATAGAAGATTGGATTCAATGTGTTATATGCCAACTGTGGGTACATGAAAATTGCACCGAATTCGATGATAAGTGTTCATCATGTGGACAGAAAAAGAAGAATGAGCTAAGGCTCAAAAACTTAAAGGGAAAAAGTGATTAAAATGTAGATTAACAAACTGGCCATCTCTCCCTTGCTTCTATGGCCATCTCTACCGGGCACTACGGGAGAGATGGCCAATCGTGATTTGAAAAAAAAGTAAATTATGAGACTGATTATGTTAAAATGACAAAAAAATATTGTGATTTTCTTAGAGTTTAATGTCGAAAGTTTAATAAAAAGTTGATTTTTGTTAATTAATCCTTGTAGTTTTTATTTTAGTGACTTCTTTAAAAACTATGGCCAACTCAAACAACTCAATAAAAAATCAAATTCAAAATATTTATTGTACGTTAGGTTTTTATATACATAATTCTTGTGTGTTTGCCATTGAACTCCTCTTAAACGATTGGACAGATTTTTACGATTTTTGTGTGATTGGAGTGGATTCCCTGATGATTTAGATTAGATGCGGTAGGTGTTGAGGTACAGAAATCACCTGTGCGAAACCGGGTCAGATCACCAGTAATATTATAATAATACTAACCACTTTATAAACCTTGCCTAAAATAAATTTATTATTATTATTATTTATATAATTTAAATTGCGGTCCACCTCATAGTAAATGGCTACCGCAGCCTGCGGACGCCTGCGACCAACTTCAAATAAAGAATGCTATAGATGCGTTATCACCTTTAAAACCTAAGATACCTAGACAGAAGACGAGTATTGCCAACTACAACTAGTATGTACACAAAACATAAATAGTGATATACTTTTTATAAACGCAAGAAACATAAGTATAGGTACGTGAGGGTAATATATGGTCACCTTATGCATTACCAAAACTATGAGAAGGACAGAGACAAAAACACAAAGTCGTATACTATAACTAATATATTAAGAAAAAAATAGCAAACAAGCTTTGGCAATTATTGTAAACACTTCGAAAAAAACTTAAAAAAAACTGCACCATACTAAAATCGACTAAAATATTTACTAAAATATTAACTGTCAAAATGGTGTCGTAATAACAGCGCCCTTATGACCTTTTATTACCTATTTGATTGACTAATGAAGACCTGTAGTTTTTGAGTTATTAGAAAGTCCATATTACCCTCACGTACTATAGACTTTTTTTATAGAAGAGGGGCCAAATGAGCACCAGGCTCATCTGATGGCAAGTACCCATCGCTATAAGTAACGTACGTAGTAGGTAGTAACTACATTACAGGTAATGATTAATTACTGGGACAAAATGTATGCTTTTAAAGCCAAAACCCTTGAAAATACACAAGCTCCCTATCAACAAGCTTAAAAAATACTAGTGTTAAAAAATACTAGTGTTAAAAAATACTAGTGTTAAAAAATACTAGTGTTAAAAAATACTAGTGTTAAAAAATACTAGTGTTAAAAAATACTAGTGTTAAAAAATACTAGTGTTAAAAAATACTAGTGTTAAAAAATACTAGTGTTAAAAAAGGTTGTTCTAATATTAGCAAGTACACGGTTGACAGTAACTCCTAGAAATGTAGATGTTCGGACGTACGGATTCACTTTCAAAAGCACCAGACGTCTCATGCTTTGCAATTGGAACTACTCCCAAACGTCAGAGTATTTTGTACATTTGGTTGAATGTAGCGCCATCTATCGACACCAACATAAAGCGAGTAGATGATACATTTTCATACTATAAAAAGTAGTTTTAGGTGACTTGGGCTGACTGACTGACTTCAATGTTCGATAACTCCTGAGAATGAGATGATCGCTACCAAGAGGCACAGTTTTCATTAGGGTTCACCTCAGACGGCTCGTGCTTTGGAGCTGCTCCCAAGTTTTAGAGTATTTTACATTTGGTCGAGTATACCGCCATCTATCGTTACCAACAGAAAGAGATTAGATTACATATTTTTACACGTCGCCATCGTACGTTTGTCGTAAGGAGTACACAGTACAGTACATTACAGTAGTTTTAGGCAACTTCAAAAAGGCAGAGATCCTCAATTTGACTGAGGTTTTTTTAATTAAACACCATATCTTCGCCAATTGTGAACCTAAGTACTTTAATGATTATTATCTTATTAAGTGAGATATCAATACTAAATAACATCAGTATCATTTAAATACGAATAAAAAATCCATCCTATATCTAAATTTGGGAGAAAATAGGCAATAAAGTTTACAATTGAACCATAGAGTATCTACCGAATCGTTACGACTATAATAAGTAGTTAGATTCTACCGAATTATTAAACGGCAGTAATAAGAACGCATTCTAGTAATAATTATACTTTGAAGTTGTGATATTGCACAGTCCGCTCTTAATGCTTTTAATTCAAATATGTACTATTACTTAGCACCGACTTCTGAAGCAATTATGTGGAAATTATTTTATTCTATTCTTTTTATTTCTTTGTTGTCGAGTTTTAATTTTTATTTACAATGTGATTTTGTAATAGATATTCTCCCCACCATTGACCTAGAAAGTTGACAGCAGTCCAACTAGAGCGAGATACTTATGTCAAAATGATGAGAGGCGACTAACGGTACTGGATCGTTTTCTCTTGAGGGTGGGGTTATAGCTTAAAACTTGATTTCTGTAGGTCTCTATATCAGACCAGTACATGCTACTAGTGTGCAATGAGGCTGGTTATGCTCGGTTCTTATACGTTTGTTATAGCATCAATCAAATAGCTGTTTTTATTTACCCTTTTATGAGTTATTCTTTATAAAAGGTTAAGACGACACAATCTACCTGATGGCAAGTGGATGTTGATAGCTGTTTATACATCTATTGCTGCAATCGATTAAGAATCAATATTTATTGGTTGTCACCACTGTGGACTAAGATGTAAATTTGCCATTAAACAGGTACCTCGGTTCTCGTCACCCACCATTAAAATCCGAGCAACATTTTATTTTTATTTTAATCTTTTTAATAACATAGCCTAGGGCGCAAAGTTCGAGGGAGAGAGATTGTAAAAAAAAATGACTTAGAATCATTTAACACCTCTTGTAGTTCGTCGACTGACTGAACGTGATTCAAAGATTTTGAACTGCTCAAGCTTTCTTCTTTGCCTCTAATTTTATTAAGTTTTGCTAAGGTTGTTCAAGAGAACTTTTATCAACCATATGTTGCATCTCTGTAGAGGGAGAACGACTCATTGGCCCATGTCGCAAAGGAGAAAGATGATCTTTTACTCTTTTGCGTCCAATTTGACTCGATGACGGGGGTGTGGGGGCGGGGGGTACATACCGCCAAGCAGCCAACGATTTCGTGGTGTGATTTGTCCATGCTGAATGTGCGGTGTCCATGCTGAATCGAGTGGGCCCAACGGAGCCCCTCCTATTGTGCTGAAGACGGTGATCCGGAGCTAGCAATTGTTTTAAGTCGTCTTTTCTGATACTCCTACTACCTAGGCGTAATCCTGAACTTATGGAAGACTGTATTAGTGTGCAACCGATCTCTAAAAAGGCGACCGCTCGGACCCGTCCTACTATAGGTTTATCACCATCGCCTCCTTGCTCTCCAAAATAATGGAATCCATTTTAAACTGCCAGCTGATAAGGTACTTTGAGGACCACCAGTTGGTTAGCTGATTCTATTTCTAATCTTTTCATTTACCTAACTCATAGATGAGCGGAAGCAGTAGAGTCCATGAGGGAGGCCTTGGTCGTTATTTTGGACATAGCGAACCTCCCTTAATATGGGTTTCCCGAGAAATTGTGCAATTGGATCATCGTTTTCTTGCAGATCGGAGCATCAAAGTCGTAGTAGAATACATACTCCAACTACGAGCTAGTGTTCCACAAGACTGTTTACATATGATACATAAACACTCACGCCTGTCACCCAGAGGGGTAGGCAGAGACTACAGACTTTCATTTAGCACGATCCTGACGTAGCTCTCTCGCCTTTTCCACATCCATGTACCTACGCATACATGCTCGTCGGTTAAGGGTACTCTTAATTTGGCCCATTTTTAATATATTGCCAATTTGGTCGACAAACTTTCGCCTATGACGTCCCTCTCCGACTCTTCCATTCACTTCTGCAACATATATTTGCTTTGTCAGTCTTTCCTCATTCATTCTTTCTACATGACCAAACCACAGAAGCATTCCTTTCTTAATCCTGGTTACTGCATCATCTTGCAAACCACACTCTTCTTTTATCACACAGTTTCTCACCTGCATTCACTCGTCGTTCAATATCCTTATCATATCTCCCGTACCTGCTGAATACACATCCCAAATATATAAATTCGTCTACTTGCTCGACCTCTCCCCTTCTATTCTTATTTCACATATCGTTTTACTTTCTTCACTTCCATTACCCTTTCTTTTAATGACCTGTTCATTAATGTAACCATCATTTGCAACTCTGCCGCCGACGACGCAAGTAAGACTTAATCATCGGCGTACAAAAGGCATTTGATGGTTAACTCACTCATTCTTAACCCGCATTCTTCAACTTTCAAATTTTCCAAACAACTGTCCATAAATAGGTTGAACAGCCACGGGGAAGCTACACAGCCCTGTCTGGCACACATTTATGGATGCCAAACCAGTCCGAGTAGGCCCCGTTGATCCTAACACAAGCACTCGAGACTTTAATGCCTGTATCAACCCAGCGTTCAACCTAAATGAGTTCAGCGTTTGCCATAACACATCCCTGTCCACTCTGTCATAAGCCTTTTCCAAGTCCATGAACGCAATAATAATAAAAACTTTTGGTTTTTGCCAAAAACTTC